TATCTATCTATCTATCTATCTATCTATCTATCTATCTATCTATCTATCTATTTTTAGACAAGGTCTTACTTTGCTGGCCTGAACTATATATAGACCAGGCTGGCCTCGAACTCACAGAGACCCCCCTGCCTCTGTCTTTAGAGTGCTGGGATTAAAGGTGTGCTCTAGGACGCCCAACCGCAGAGCAATATTTAAATAAGACTTTTTATGTGTCTGACTGGCCTACACATATGTCTGTACTCCATGTGTGTCTGGTGCCCTCTGAGGACAGAGAGGGGTGGGGGGTACTAGGTGGTGGTCTTCTCCTTTCCTGCTAGAGACTGTTTGTTTCAGCTTTAACCCATTTCTTCATCTCAGGGCGGAAGCGAGCGTCCTGAGCTTAAACCGAGAGTGAAGCCGTTTTTAACAGTTGGCTCTCAGCCCCTTGCTGTAGAGCTCCAAAGCAATGGGTTTTGAACTAAAGTTGAGGATGTCAAAAAGAACTGAAGTGTGGCCTCCCAGGAAGGCGGGAAAGGAGAGATGGGGGCAGGAGGGAAGGGGCTTCTCCAGACAGCAGACAGGCCGCCTGGCTGCCAAGGGCTTTGTGGGGAGCAGGGGAGTGCCTGGAAAGCACAGACATGTCAGCGTGCCCTCTGCAGCCTAATGGTGGACAGGAGAATTTGGAGGCAGGTGAGGAGAGATTTCTCTAGAATGGGCATGGCCATTCTGCTTCAAAGGTTTTCAGAACATGTCATAGGCCGAGAATTCTGTCAGTGAGAAACTGAAAGACCTCACAGCCCAAACAGGCCTTTCTATTCTTTCCTTTTGGAAACATCCTAACTAAATTGCTCCCTTATTTTTTTTCAATTAAAAACTGAAAGAATTTACCAGTAAGACCAACTTTCCCTTTCCTACTTTTGAAGACCTCAGCATACACCATGAAACAGTGTCTCCAAGACCTTAAGGGAACGTTTTCTAGGCCTTTAAAATTACTCTGAATTAACAATTACTTAGTTATTGCTAAGGAATCTTTGGGTAAATTCAAATGGTTTAATCCTTATAACAAATGACTTGAAACTTCTTTTCATGACTCTTAAACTCATGCTACTTATAACATTTCCTTAAATACCAAGTGATTAATCGCCAATAACTCATTTTTAAAAAAACAAATTAAGCCCTTAAAACTTGGTTTCACTAATGAGTTCAGTTAATGTAGCGAAGCAGGCCACCAGCTCATAAACCCTGCAATATTCCGGAATATAACCCAGGCCTCTTAAAGTATGCTACTGCCGCTAATTCTCCCTGACAATATTGCTCTGATAAAATGCGTTTCTTCCTCGGCCCCCTTTACAATTAAAGCAAACACACTTTAGTAGGGAAGGAGAACTTTTTATTGGTTTTCCTCAAAATTGGTTGTGGGATGTGCCTTAATAGTTAAGGAAAATCTCAGCAAAAATATTAACGTGCAACTCTGATATGGAAGGGTTTCCATCACATGGTGTATGACAGAGAGTAGCTGTGCCATCTTGGGGTTTCTTCTCTCATTTACTTTCATCGAGGCTTTACCACAACTGAGCCACGTCCTACGTGTGCGTGTAGGAAATTTAAAATCGCTTTATTTGTTTGTTTATTATACGTAGGAGTGCTCTAACTGCAGTACACCTGCTCACCAGAAGAGGGCGCCAGATCCCAGGATAGATGGTTGTGAGCCACCATGTGGGTGCTGGGCGTTGTGCCCAGGCCCTCTGGAAGAGCAGACAGTGCTCTTAACCGCTGAGCCATCTCTCCAGGCCTAAAATATTTTTTGATCTCTCATTTTTGACAAACTTTACGTTGAACAAGAAAGGCACATCCTGGAAGACGCTGACACGCTGAGACAGGCAGGCAGGTGCCCTGGTGCTGCGGCTGTCTTGGTGTTTGCCGAGTTTGGGCTGGCGCCCAGGTTCTGCCAACAGTCCTCGGAGACTGTGATGAGAGTTCCCACTCTTTAGCACCCCACATACGCTGTGAAGCCTTTCTGTATCTTCTCAGGTTTTTCCGGTTCTGATACCCTGAAACTCTGGCCCCTGAGATGATGGCTGAGTTCCTGGCCGAGTGTCTTTCTGTTCAAAGCGCTTCCACAGATGCCATCTTTCCACCATCTGCGTTAGAACCACACTTTTAATTTTAGAAAAATTCCTTTTTTTCTTCATTGCTTTTGAGACCGGATCTTGCTACACAGCCTGCCCGGCGGTGGCGCTCACCATCTTCCCTCAGCGTCTCCAGGGGTTCCCAGGGTCTTGTGGCACCTTAAAAAGGTAGATATTTCTCCTCCTTCCAAGACGGCGTGCGTGTCACCGTGTGTTGGAACTGCGGAGCTGTTTAGGTGTGTTTTGGGAGTTGGCACTCCCTCTTCCAGCAGAGCTTTCATCAGCTTGTCCTCGGCACAGACCCTGCTGTGTGGTGGGCCTGGCCTGAGCCACGCAGGGCAGGCAGCGCGGGGATGTGTAGCGAGAGCACACAGCCCCAGCACCCCCGGCGGGACCCAGCGCCATCGCTTAAGCAACGGAAGTGCGGTCTGGCAACTGCAGCCACCAGAGCTGATGAGAAGGTCCCTGGCACTCCGGCAAGAGAAACAGCAGAGTCTTGTCCAGTGGCCAGCTTTTGTGAGTTGGGAAGGACACTGACACTTTGTTGAGGCTTCCCCTTCACTCCAGTCCTACGGCCACTGACCTGAATCAACTCAGTAGTTACAACTCTACAACAAAGTTTTTAGACACCTGTTTGGTTTAGTCTATAGAAATCACACTTTTTTTTTTTTTTTTTTTTTTTTTT